ATTAATTTTTCTTCATGTTCAATGTGGAATATTCTCGATATGAGACATTCTGTTTGTGTGTTGGCAATCTGAATTTTCTTTCTAGAATTGTCAATGAAGAGTTCTGCGTGAAGGGTCATAAAACAATTAAGGTTTGTCCAGCGAGTAGTTATCGGCATTTAATCTTTTAATGTTTTAGTGACCTCTATGTGCTCTTGGATCTGTTTCTATTTTGGCGTGTTAACTTCAAGATATATATATATATATATATATATATATATATATATATATATATATATACCTTGAATTTAGTGTACTATGGAAGCAGATTATTATTCAAACATATATTTGTAAATACAACAGACAATGAATATATATTATGTTTAATCATGAGCCGTTTTAAACATTGTATGGTCGCTTTAATTTCGAATGAAATGCAAGACAAAATTGTCCAACATTTGGATATTTTTTATAATGCTGTTCTTTGTTCTATGCTTATGTCCGTATAATCACTCTGAAGATGGCTCATGTGAACCGAAAGCTTTCTCTGCTATATTCAAAAATATGTGTAACCCAGAGAGCTCAATGTAACCCCAGAGCAAATATTAATTAAAATTTAAGAAAGAGACAACCCTGATGTTCCGTGACAATAATTTATTTTCCCAGAAAATATAATTTTTCCTGGTTCAGCAGGTTACATCTCTAGTTACTAGAGAGTATTTAATATATATATATATATATATATATATATATATATATATATATATATACATGGGTGTGTGTGTGTGTAAAATTTAAAACCTCTAAATTAATAGTTAAAAATAACAATTCACCTCTTAGAACAAAATTAAATAGGGCAAATATTATTTACGAATTTAAATACAGTAAAGTATTGTATTCCTGATCAATCAAAATTTGTAAATAATTATAAAGGACACACTACAGCATGTTTGACACGCATACTCACTCTACACCTTTCTGACAATAGCTCAGTTAGATCTCATTTAAATATTCATGGAGACCTACCAGAGTTTATTCATAACATACTTTTTGACAACACAAATATAATAGCATAATCTACATGCAAAAAAATAAGGCTAAAAATAATGGAAGCCTTATTAATAAAAACAAAAAGAAAAAAAACAACACTTAATATCAACTATGAACATGGACACAATATCTTGACCGTCTTTTGACAAATGAAAACATTTTATAAAACATACAATGAACAAACTATTTCTTATTTAACATTTAAAATATTTCATCCTTGAAAATGGCTAAATGTTCTGAAATGAGAAAAAGAACATTCGGATGGTTTCTATATAATATATCATCCGAAAAGAAAAAAAAATAGTTCGCATGAGAATTGTAAAAAACTAAATAAAAGTACCTTGTCTGTCTTATTCAATGAAATGTACATGAACGAAGGATTGCTGCCGAAATACACACACACACACACACACACACACACACACACACACACACACATATATATATATATATATATATATATATACACGCACACACGCATATATACATACACAAACACATTATATATATATATATATATATATATATATATATATAGATATAGATATAGATATAGATATATATCTGTTTCTATGTATTTATTTACATACACACACGTGTGTGAGGATTGTTTTATCTATGTATTTCTGGTTATTTACATTATTTACATTCTTTGAACTTCGTGGCAATATCCAAGATGTTTTTGGCCGTTGTACGCTACGTCCTTCTTCAGTTCACTGGAATTTCGAATTGAATCCTTTATTTCGCCCACCAGGGTAGAGTGTTCTGTTTTCTACGTGCCATGCTTCTTCGTATCAGTTATCTTCCTTTAACTCAACTTTGCAAATTTACTCTTTTTTTTTCAAACAAGAAAAATAACACGAACAAAGTTTCTCGGTGGAGCTGTCTCTTCTTCTCACTAACACATTTTCTAGTCCTTAAATCCCTGATAAAGTACGACTGTTGGCGACAGGCATAGCACTCCTGGCTCTGTGAATCTATCCAGCGACACATCGATTCTATAAATCCGCACTTCCCTAAATTCAAGAAAACATTATCCCAAAGGTAGAGCCTTCATTTTCAAACTGCTAAAAAAAATAAGCAAATGAAACTGATATGACGAAACATCTATAATAGAAATTTCAAAACAGACCAGAAAATCCTAATGAGTGTAAGAGGTATTTGATAAAACTTGTCGTCACTTGGTTTCCATTCAGTCGCCAGATGGCTCCTGCGTGTATACAGAAATAATAATAATAATAATTACTATGAACATGAGCCATCAAGTGTAGAAAAAAAAAACGATGAAGCTATAATTCTCTGGGAGAGGTCATTCCAAACTGATAAAGAAATGAAGAATTCAGGCAAGCAGATCCGCCTGATAAAGTAGTGTTGAAGAAGAAGAAATGTAGAACGTATTTTTTTATCGATATGTCTGTTCTCACCGAAATAAATACCTCCTTGAAACTGCTGGAAAATCTCTTTAAATATCAGGGACATCGATGTCAAAAAAGATAGAAAAACCCACCACTCGTAAGATCAAGATACAACAAGTCCAGGAAATCACCTTCCTCACCATTGCCCAACTCAAATTAATTTGATTCCTTACCCCCTCAAAATCCTCCGAAATGCGACGGATGGAGTCGATTACACGAGAGAAAAATGCTGTAAAATAACAACAATCTTTTAATAATAATGATAAATTATGGAGACTACTATTTAAAAAATATTTACATTCTTCGGACAGTTTTGCCATATTCACGACATTGCAGGTGATTGGAAATTTGAATCGAACACTTGAAGAAGGCAGGAGCGTACAACGGCCGAAACGTCGTGAATATGGCAATAAAAGACAACAGTCCGAAGAATGTAAATAGTGTAAATAATTACAATACTTCAACTCAAAAATATAGACATATATAATGGAAACTATTTATAACTTTGCCGAAACGCTTAGGACAGGCAAAATATTTGAAAAGAATCGTAACCATCACTAGAAAATGAATCATGAAGAATGATTCTGTGTCGAGGAGACTTGCTGGCACTTTATCTTCAATGTAAATCATCCGTTACTACTGCCAAATCATTCAATGTGTTGAATATATCACGGAAATATTCTTGCTCTTTCTTGGTTCACAGCAATAAAATTACGTTCGTCTGTGTGAAAGGCAGAAGAATGGATATCCTGTGAAGATAGCATTCGCTAAACGTTAGTAACCATCTAAATATTTCCACCCGGACCATCATGTTCCTTTGTTATCAAACAGCAAATAATAAGAACTGTGATGTTTGGAATAAACTTACTTTTCTATTGTCCTGAGTGTACCTTCCTGGATATATTCTCTTTGAAGTTCAAAATAACTTTAATGGTGACTCGAGGAGACCTTTAGTCACGGGAATACCGATAATACAAAGAGGATTACAAAAAAAAATACAAATGAACAAAAAAAAAAAAAACACAACAAGTGGCATACATGTGTCACCTTCCTTCTTATGTAGAGTTTAAATAACAGGATGCATTGAACTCTTTATGTTGAAACCAGATTAAGAGAACGAGTACTCCAAAGTCAAATCGTGAAGAATGCTTTTTAATACGAAAAGTGTTAAATTTACGCCCACAATGTCTGTAACTGTAATAAACACACGCTCGAGTGCATGCACTCACACAGACATATAAATATATATATATATATATATATATATATATATATATATATATATATATATATATATATATATATATATATATATATATATATATATATATATATATAGATATAGTAATGGATAGCGGCTTGGATTGAGGAATCGGAGAGCAGAGTTCGAATTCCAGTTGAATCCGTTACATTCACTTACGTGCTAATACCCTTGGGAAAGGTATGAATCCTCTCCTCCAGCTATGGGTGAAATAGCAGGACAGACTGGGTTCTGTAGAAGGACAACTCTGAAGTCAAAACCTGCGGAGGGTGGTTTGGGAACCTTGTGGCATTCGCTGCACCAGGTTTCTGTATTCGTCCCTTCAAAAAGTATGGATGGTCCTGCACGAAGCCTTCACCACTATAATCAAATCTCATGTGCCGGTGTCGGGCTGTCGGTTTCCTGAAACTGATCCGCTTGATCCTCATCCGTCGAATTTCGACAGAAGAGTCGACTATATATATATATATATATATATATATATATATATATATATATATATATATATATATATATATATCTGTGTGTGTGTCTAGATATAATCTAACTGTTATACAATTGGGTTGATTCTTTGGAAAAATCCATACGCGATTGCTAATCAACAGGTAGACGAAGTAAAAGAAAAAAAAACAACTGTTTTACTGTTTGTGTTCAGGTAATTTTGATCGTCTAATTATAAGAACTGCATGTTGTTAGTAATTTTGGCTACATCCTGGTATTCATGGTAAATATCTAACATGACTCACTTATATGGTAAGTGTATCTTCGAATTAACTTGAATCCTAGCAGTCCAAAATATTGTTCATTTATTTAATATGGAGTGATGTATAATGATATGTATAATGATATGAATCTAACTTGTATTTAGATATATTGTATTTATTTTCAATTTTCTATTTTTCAATATTCACCTATATTGCATATGATTCATTATTGCACGTAATTAGATATTTTTTTTTTGTTTTTTATGATTAGTACGCTATGAAAATTGAGATGCAGTAGAGTGGGGCATAGATTTGGTTGGGGTGTATCATAGATACACCGGCCCTAGAGATAAGTCTAGCACAACGAAAACTGCACACAAAATAACACTTGTCAGTGTGTGATAAGATTTGGAAAAAAAACATTAATGATGACTCGTGGAAACTTGTTGCCACGTGATCACCAGCCATAACAAGAGAAATTCTTAAAAGAAAAACAACTTTGTAATAAAAAACAAATGTCATGCATGTGTTTCTACTCCTCCTTATGTCGGAGTTAAATAACAGGATATATCGGGTTAACTAGCTTTACGGCCCCATCACGTTAAAACGCAGGTTCCCGTTCGATCAACGAAGTTAAGCAACCTCGAGCTTGGTTAGTATCTAGATGGATGAGCGCCTGTGAATAACAGGTTCTGTAAACTTAGATGTACGTGTGGTGTAATGGATAATGGCTCGGAATTGTTAATCAGAGAGCCGAGTTCCAATTCCTTTAGGTTTCATTATATTCACTTAGGCGCAAATATCTATGGCAAAGGTATGAATCCACCTATTCTCCTACCAGCTATGGGTTAATTAGTAAGACTTGCATCACTAGAACCATTAATATCTCCAAAACAGAAATAAAAAAGAATTGAATAAAATAAAATCGCGTACAAAATATTTAGACTCCGTCATTAAATAATCTGTAGACGTTGATATGCCGCTAAACAAAAACAAGTACTTAGCCAACTTACCTTAGGCGGTAACCTATTTAAGAGAAGGAAAACTGAACTCAAATCGTCAAAGGGAAGCCACTCCAATAACTTTTCCGGGAATGGATTACAATTAACAGATAGAGAATAAAAAAGAAGACGTGGAAAGTCAAGATCACCTATGATTTTAAGCGATATGATAGTTAAAATATACACAGCAAATTGTTAAACGTTAGTAAAATTAAAGAAAAAAAAAAACAGGATTTATAAAAATAAATGATTTAAACAGTATTCAAGTCACAAAAGACAAAAGAAAAATGGAAAATAAAAATAATAAATTAAAGGAAAATTAATTAAAAGAAAAAAAATGTCAGAAACGAGAAAACGGCCGTTACCAGTAAATCAGGGCTTCTACCAAATCTATGATACGACGGCCCCAGAATCTATAATACAGGACCCCCATTCTAGTACAATTGCCATAAGCTACTATTCATAAAAAATACAAATTTTATTGTAACCTAATTATGTACAGTGATGAATGATATGGAATATAGGTGAACAATGCCGATAGGAACATTGAAAACAAATAGAATGTATCTAAGTACAATTTAGGGGCATGTCATAATAGATCTTTACGTGTGAAATAAATCGACAATCTCTAACATCAACTTGAAATTTTTCTGGTTAAAAGTTTGATACTTTTAACACATTCAACATTATGAATAAAAAATAGTGAATTTTATAAAGTGTATGTGTACTGTAATGTAATATCAGTCATCTTAGATGCTGTTCTCGATAGATAATCGATACTACTGTAGGTTGAACATTTCAGGGTCACAGTTTCACTGCTTAACAAAAAGCCATCTGGAAAAATTTGGAAATCGTCTAAAACAATGAATGGCGAATATAGGATTCCTAGCATCGCCTGTTTAAATTTTTCTGGTTAATTTTAGCACATTCAACATTATGAATTAAAAATAGTAAATTTTATATAAAGTTTTTTTTTCGATACTTATTATGAGCAAAACAAATTCACGGATTTGATCGAAAAACAAAACTCCAGAATGACGTTAAAATCAAGGAAAATTTGTTATCCTTTAATATTCACTTGTGTTGTATATAAATATATGTTGAAAAAAGCAAATGTTAATAAGATTTCTAGGTTCACAAGTCAATGCCCAGGAAACCCTATCAGACTTGCCATTCCCCATGTCTGATGTAGATACAAGGGCCCCACAATCTATGACACGGGATCACCACTCTACTCCATCTCAATTTTTACAAGGTAGTATTCATATAAAATAAATGCAATATAGGGGAACAATTTAAGTGGGAAAATTGAAAATAAATGATTCTAAATACAATTTTTTATAATAAATCATAGAGAGGCAGTTTTTAATATCAACTTAAAATTTTATTGAAACATTAAAATTTTCTGTGTCGCGATGAATTCATATTTTTAAAAAGAAAAAAGTTATTATATATATATATATATATATATATATATATATACACACACACACTATATATATATATATATATATATATATATATATATATATATATATATATATGCAAGCAAATATATGGATATAGATCCGACAGTATGAAGAAAAATATACGGAAAAAACAAACAAAAATCCTTATATACAATTATGCCGTTTTAATGTTAATATGTCAACGTCGGACGTTTCGGTCTAATAAACCATCTTCAGGACATATTCATAAAATATAATTAACATTATCAATTCAGCATGACAAAGAACAAGACTTATCCAAACAGATAACTGAAAGCGCTGATCTTATAAAACTTTCAATTATCTGTTTGGATAAGTCTTGTTCGTATGTACATCGTCTTTGAATCTTTGAATCTGAATTCATACATTTTCGATGGCTATGAGAATTGACAACAAAAATAATAAATATTATTTATTTATTAGATTGTTTGTTTACACTAGTTATTTATTAGAATGGTTGGCACAACATCATTTCATTGTCAATTGATTCAAACTTTTAGAAATTGTAAATAATATAGATTTCCTTATAGATATCTCTCATATTTTAATTTAATAAATGTTTATAAATTCATGAATAAAACATTGTTTTCAAGTTTATTCCTTTATAAATTGGTCAATGGTAAATATTGTATTGAATTAGTTGTTCTAATTGCATTAGTTTTTTTAAAATGTTATAAATATATAATTATTCTTGTAAATAAACATTCTA